TGCCATCGCACATACGATCACTATTACGCCAATTCCAATTTGGATATGGTCGCAAAAGTGGCCCTCCTGGTCCTGTTTCATTAGTCACTGTCGTCAAAGTAGCAGGTGCACCAAAACCCAGTTCTTTTGTAACAGTAACGAATATTCTGCCATCTATAAGACTTACGTACCATTAAAAGTTATATTTATTTAATCAATTTTATGGTAATGGTATATCTTGCATTAACACTATCAAAATGCATTTATTAAAACGCATGGATTCATATAATATGATTAGTGTTAAATATTATAGTTAAATACTATACTATAAATACTACTTAATTAAATACTATAAAGTGAAACTTTTGTTTAGAAGAATATTACTGTAGAAAATTATTGTAACTTTTACAATTATCATTCATTTACCTTTAGCTTTGTCTGCATCAAGTAACATAAGCGCAGAACGATTGTAAGTGCCAGACTTTATTGCGTCTTCCTTCTGCTCATTACTTTCCCATACAAAATCGACATATTTCCATTCATATATATAATTCACTTTAATTCCAAAAGTTAAAGTTGCCATCCACAAAATTAGCAAGGTACACAAAAGATATTTCATTTTATCAAGAAACGAGTTAGTCTTGGAAGTTAGAATTATGAATCCCAAGAAAAAATATTGCAAATGTTCTTTTTATTAAATGTTTAGTGAAAAAAAGTCACGTATTCTGTTAACAGTGTTGTTATTTTATGTTCGTTGAAATTACATCATTTTATGATGTACTTGCAGCAAAAAAATTTCAAGTAAGGTGCTGCCAAGAATTTCACAAGTTTGCGATACACTATTAACGGTTATTCAAAAAATTGACTTTGATGCGTTCAATTTCTTTGTTGTTATTGTTAATAAAATAGATTTTGCTGCAGCTCAATGTTCCTCTTTGATTTTTGTAATAAATTGCACTTTACGATTATGAGATGCAATAAGTTGCTTTGGACAGCAATTTTTCTTTTAGGGCACGTACAGTGTATACGTAAATGAAAGTGAAAGTTTTTACATCTAATTGTTGAATACAATAATTTTCAATAATAAGTAAATTTTTGAAAATGGTACGTCTTTTAAAAATTAGGTATAACTTTTTGGATTGCAACAATAAATGTAACTTCTACAATGATAAACATTTATGTCACGAATGTAACTATGATAACTTGCTATTTATATCTTTTTTTTAAACGTAATACACATGTCTTTAAAAATGTCTTTAAAACACCTCATTATTCTATCAATAATAATAATTAACCTCACTAAAGGTCTTATTATAATACCATTATTATAACGTTTATAATGCAACATTTTTTAAAATTGCATAACATGTAATAATAACGTTGTGCATTATCTTATCAATAAGACCATCAGAGATGAACAATGTATTAACTATTTTTTTTTAAGTGTATAAAGTGAGACAAGCAAAAGTAATTTATTATTATTTTTCTTTGTTAATAATAGCGAACTGACAATATATAAAACAAAGAAAAAAAAGAGCTACGAGCCAAAAATTGTTATATAGAATAAACATGATAATACAAAATGTAAAAAAAATAAAACAGAAATGTTTTATGGTAGAGATTTAATATAGAAAGCTAGCAGACGTTTCGATCGCAATCGGATTATTTTCAATGTTAAAAACATACACAAAGTTACAATCGGAAAAGAAAACAAAAACATAATAAATTATCTATTTCGCTCTGACGCTGGTAACGTAAAGAAAACGAATATCATAATGTATATATTTATATTATATAACGAAAAAAGAACGTACGCATAATAAAAGCTATTTGCAGTCAATCATTAAAATGCTTGTAATGTCAATTTTAGTAAACCGAGTGAAAGTCCTTTGATTAAAAATGAACAGAGAATGCAAATATGAGTATGATCCTTGAGTTAAAAGAGTTTTGGGTGCAAATAGTACGTTAAAATTAGAGACAACGCGAAAAAAAATGAAATACAATCTTGTCTCCTCGTTGTTCTGAGACATAATGCTTTGAACAATGTATGTCTATATATATGTAAATATACGTTTAAAGTACTTCCAATCTCTCTGTCTAACAGAACCGATGATTTTTATCTTAATGTTTCACATGACTTAATCATATTTTGGCACATATTTTATTTTTGTTTTTCAATGCAAGAAGTATCAATTCCGATACAATTAGTAATTTTTACTAAAGCGAATAGCTTATAGACAACATTATTATTTAAAAGCATTTCTAAATATTGCATTCCAAATATTTAAATGCATTATTCAAATAAATAGACAGAGCATTATAAAAGAAAAAATAAATTTTAATATTTCAAAGCTTTAAAAAATCACCAAAGTTTTATCAAAATTTTTATATCATTGTAAAGTACTGTTATATTTTTTCCCTTTAAAATATATTTTGAATGGATAACGTATGATATTTTTAAACTGAGATGTACCTATTAGTAGAGCGGTATATCATACTTCGAAGTTATATCCCCTGCCTGTCTGTTGTTGTTAGAAGTAAAAGAATTACGATTTTTCCATACTGCCTCATTTTGATATATAAATCTTCATATTTTTTTATTCACTCTAAATATACATTCTCCTTATTCATGTTATGTGACTTTTACTTAAAATATTTTTCGTACTATGAATAACTTTCAAATAATTTTAGAATGCTACTAAGTATAGTAAATTATGCTTTATCTTCTCATACATGCTACATATAGTAAAAATTTGATATAAAATAGAATCGTTATAGATCAAATATTATATGTGATAAATCGTACATTCTTATATGTGTACTTTTATTTTATTGGAGGTCATTAAAACGTAAAAACCAATCGATATTAATGTTGCAAGTATTATCAATACAATCGTTCAATAACTTTGATTGGAAATATCAGTGATTAATATTAAACAAAATATTTCATTAGAAAGATACAATCATTTAAATTTGTTTCTTCAAAGATTTTTTGAAGAACAATATGTATATTTCAAAATCAATTACTTAAAATCTTCGTTGTTAAATTAAGTATTTTCTCTCTTTCAGATATTATTTTAATAAATTAATTTTAAAACTTCATAAAAATTCTTATATTTTGAGAAAGCTTTTAAATAAAATATCTATATTGTCTGTTTCGCTACCCATCAAAAGATATTTTTTCTTGTCTAAATTACTTACCCTTGCATTTTGTTTTCTTAATCGCTTAAAAAATGTCTCAAATGGTCTTTTTTTAATTATATTTACCGGTTTAAATATAAATGTATTTTAGTTTGCATGCATTTTGGAAATTAGGAGAATACTAAATTGAGTTAGAAATAATTTAAGTTGGAAAAATACTAATATATACTATATATTATAAATTAGACAAAATATACTAAATTATATACATTTTTAATAATTATTTCTAACCTTCAAATTTCATATATATATAATTATGATAGTAACATGCGAGCGTGCACATTTGTGTCAATGTCTTTGTTGATCAAGAAAATTCCAATTGTATTCGATTCACTACAGAAAAATCCATTTTTGTAGCCCTACTCTAATGTAATTCAATCTAAAGTCGCCTTAATTCTTTCTCTTTTGTTATAAATCAGTTACAGAGAGAAACGGGAGGCGTTATTTAAATAAAAATATTGTTAAGTTATATTACATAAGACATATTTTCAGACATATATTAATAATTAATTCAAATCAATTTTTAGAAATCCAACGCCTACTACAAATTCATAGTTACTATTAACCATGTTAATAGTAACTCCATAAAACGATTACAATTACTTAAATATCGATTTAAATTTACAAATGAAAATGTTTCGTAAAGGAAAGGAACGCTGGAATTGGGAAAGTCATAAAAAAACGTTCTAAGTTCTAAGTTCTAAGTCTATTCTAACGTTCTTTCTCTCTCTCTCTCTCTCTCTCTCTCTCTCTCTCTCTCTCCTAAAGACTTTTCTTAAAATTTAATGTGTTTTTTAGCATCAACTTTTGATCTTTATTAAAAAAACAATTATTTAAGCTGGAATTACACGATGTTTGATTTCTTGAACGGTAAGTATACATATACCTATTCTGAGGGTCAATCATGTAACTTTTTTCTAGGACAGGAAGATGAAAAGTGAACATTTTTTGTATATGTACATATACATACATACATAAAAATTTTCACGTTTTCATTCTAGAGAAAAAGTTGCGTAATCGACATTTTGATGCATACTAGAATACGTTCATTGTTTAATGTTCATTGAGCGCGACATGCTGGTATATATAATTTCTATGTTTATGATGCATTACTTCATAACTTGTTTTCTTGCATGCATGAATAAAAAAATTAAGAGGATCTTAAAGGTAATTAATCATAGTGTAAGTAAAACTTACACACATGCGTCATTGATTCATTACTATGTACTACTACATCAATATCTCACGCATATATACACATAAATTTTCGTATAACAATCACATTTTAATTAGACATCTAAGTCCAATTCCAAGAATTTCATGTTATTTTTTCGTCCAAACTACTAATCTGTGGACTATACTACTATTTCGTAAGTACAGATTGCACAACATTTATATGAAGCAAATGTTGTCATAATGTAACTATACAGCTCCATATTAGATTAAAAAATAATAAAGATTTTAATTTTAAAATTTTTTTTACGTTCTCAGCATTCTATCTCACAGACACGTAAATGCGTATACTTTAATTCTGGAAAAGGATTTTCGAATCTATAAAAGAAAAAAAAATAATTATTATACAAAAATTATATAATGATCAGATGATTGACAACTTATTTGTGGAGGGATCATGTTTAATTAATGTTTCCAATCATTTTCAAGTTATTTTGACGTTATCGTAACTTGTTATGCTTGGATTACTCACTAAAGACTTCCCCCAACGTCTTTTCCCCGTCAACGGCGCCGGAAAAGTTCAGAGAACACTTGCAATATATTTCCCGGACAATAGTAAGTCTATATAATCTCAAATCAATGTTCGGAGTTTCATTTCTCATCGATCTGCATTACGCAGTATAGTCTTCCAAGTCTTCAGAAATATGGGTTCCTTTTCAAGTATGTATTTCAAGTATGTATAATAAATGTAATGATATTGTTAATATTTCTTGTATATTTACTTCTAAAAAAAGCATATTAAATCAATATTCTATAAAAATATTGTTGCTTCTTCTCCGCGATGCCGACTATTTCACTGCGCTAACTTAAAAATAATTACAACTTCTATTACATTAAGATGTAAATGTCCACATCATATCTATCAATATAACATTTTATGAAATAAAGATTTATTAATATAAGAATAAATAAAATATATTATAAATCAAAAGTTATGGATAAATGTTATATGATAAACACATTTATGAATACTACATTTATTTTACTGAAAATCACTATAACGTTATTTAAACGATATAGGTGCTGTAAATGTTATTAGTTTAATAATGTTAATTTTGATTGAGAGAGAGAGAGAGAGAGAGAGATAAATGATATAAATATTAAACAAAATTTTTTATTAAAAGCGAACATGAAGTTTATTATTTCAATGATTTTTGCCTTGTCCAAAAAAAATATAAATGTAAGAAATATAAAAAAATCAAATTTTTGTAACTCTAAAATAAAATACTCCTTAAAATAAAAAAAATATGTTTTATATCACAAAAACGTTATTTATATTGAAAATATATCGAAAAATCCAATCGTCAATATATCATATGCAATATATCATATGCATATATATATGTATTTTTAACAAGTATATGTATTTTTATTCACATATTTATTCTATAAAAATTATATTAATAGGATAAACATATTATATACATGGATATTATTATTAGATAGATTAACAAGATAAGAATAATACATAATTCTATCATGAGACTAATTAGATAATATCTTTTTATTAAAAAGAAGAAAGCATAAAGTGTTTAACACAGCAAGAAGAGAAGGAAAATTATTTTTAAATAATACTGTTCCTTTCGTTACACATATCTAAATATTTATATACACAAACGAAAATATATAAGGACGATATGTTTGAAAATCGCGTCAGTCCTCTTTAGAGATGAGCAAATCATTTTTGAATGTTGGTGCCTTGTGAGAAAAATCAATAAAAATTAATAAAAACTATATTACAAAACTATTCAAATGCAGAAATAAATATAAAATCTTTTCATAATTTTTTTTCGTGATGTTATCGATAGATTTAATGACAACAAGACGCAACAAAATGCTGCTGCAATTGACGATTTCGGCGTGAGTATAAGAACACGTATTTCACGATAAACCCTATTACACAATCATATTTTTGAATTATACGGCATGAAGATTATATCGCTATACTGAGGATGCGATTAATATATTTTATCCAGTTCAAGAAATAACATATTGATTAATAGCTTTCAATGCTATTAATAAAGAATAAAAAACAATAGCGAAGCTGTTTATGTAATATTGTTATCTAATCAATAATCTATCTAATAATAAATAAGACAATGAGGATATTTCAAACATCTTACTTGTTAAATAAACGGCTTTTAATCGCATTCTTTAAAATAAAATTGCGCATCATATTACACTATGACAAAATAACATTAGAGATAAAATAATAGAATTTACAATGGCAACTGTTTCATAGTTTTAAAGATTTCGTTTTACATAATCGATATTATTAGTTGAAATTTGTTGTGTTATAAATAATACAATAATATATACATGTAATATAAAAATATGTCAATACATATTATATTTAAATCAAATACATAAATATAAGGCAAACGTCCCAATGACATGTGACATCCCAATGACGTCCCAACTGGACATGTATGTCAGATACTTACACAAAATTTATTATTTTTAATTTCAAATGTTTTTCTGTTACAATATATTTCTGTTACATTGTATTTTAATTGTATTTAAAATTATTTTAAAAAGCATTTGAGATTAGTAATATCATATAAATAAATAAAATTTTCAAATGAATAAAACAAAGAGCATGTGCCACAATGCAAGTTTTTGATAAAGAGATAATTTTTTTCTTGTTTTATATAATTCCTTGTTTTATATAATAATCTTGTTGTTATAAACAATAATAATTATAAACATTTCGGCCTTCTCCAGTACATAAAAACACAATATAAATTTCAAAAATTGTTTACATATTATGTCGTAAAATCAAAACATTAAGAATCAGTTAATTGCAAAGATTTACTTTTAAAAATAGACTTACTTTAAAAATAAGTCAAAAAGATGGTAACACAAAACGTTCGTTAATAATAAAATTTTTTTTTATAATTCGTCAGTGAATTTGGCGAGTTTTTATTATTAAAACTTCAAACGTGTTATTTTTTTATTTAATAGAATCGTAATTCTTATAAGACACAAAATTTTCAGATTCTATTACATTAAAGTAAAATTTTGTATAAATGTTACTATTTATTAATTAAAGTAAAATTTTGTATAAATGTCCAAACATGGGTACATCTTCAGTCATTGAAACGTTTATCTTATATAAATATTATTAGGTGTTGGAATTAATTCGTAGCGTTTTTAATGAAAGAATGTTATTTATTTCACATGAGCATTAAAAAATACATTAATGAAAGTACTTCCCATCACTTGTAAAACGCTACGAATTAATTCCAACACCTAATATAACAAAGATTAGTTAATTTTTTGATATTGTTCTCATATTTATTTTTTCAGTTTACTTATTATGAGTATTAAATGTATAAGTATAGAAGAATTAAAAATACAAGTAAACGAAGGAAAATTGATCGGCGTGATTGTAGATGGTTATAATGTTCGTTACCTTGCTTTTCGTGGAATACCATATGCCAAACCTCCAGTTGGCGAACTTAGATTTAAGGTAAGTGCAATATAATTAATTTTCAATAGGGCAAACAAACAGGAAGACAAACTTTAGCCGATTTTCTTTAAAATTAAAATGAGAAAGAAAAAAGAATCTAATTTTTTTTAAAACGTTGGCTAATTAATTATGGTAGGATAAACTCTACACGATTTAAATACATATTTCTTTAAAAATAAATGTCATGTTAAATATAGAGTGAGTTATCAAAAATGTGTTAAAATTTTTGTAAGAATATTTTCGATAAAAAGGAAGAACAAATGTTTTGTAATGAATATTAATTAATAGCAAATACTTCGTTAACAAACATATATACATATATATTGCTATTAACTAATACACACACACACACACACATATACATAATATTACAAATTTATTTATCGTATTTTTACATATTTTACATATCTAGGATCCGGTACCACCAGAACCATGGTCCGGTTATAGAGATGCATCGAAGTATGGAAACATAGCGATTCAAACGGATTTAAGACAGATAATTATAGGAGATGAAGATTGCCTCTATTTAAATGTGTACACCACAAAAATCGAACTCTCAAAAAAGCGTCCAGTAATGGTATGGATACACGGCGGTGCCTATAGTTCAGGTTCTGGTGATGCTACTATTTATGGTCCTGATTATATCGTGCAGAAAGATGTAATATTGGTTACTCTGAATTATAGATTAGGCGTTATGGGTACGTCATCCATTATTTTAAAGTGTGTTTCTTATACGTTACTCATGTTCGTAAGTTTTTCTCAGAACAATATATTTAGACTTACAGTTTTTTTTATTTTTATATTTTAAGCCATTATTATGTAATGCTATTACAGTCCACCATCAGATTAATAAAAAAAATAATTAAACGAATACACTAAAAATATTACTGAAAATATTAAATAAAAGAATATATTACAAGCAGTTAGAAAGTGGAATCAATCTCAGCCCAAAAAATTTTATGAACAAGGCATATCCATCGTTTGATTTTACAATCGAAGAAGTGCTTTGCTAATAATATTATTAACATTAGTTGATTTAAATGTTTGAATTTTCTATCTACTATGTTTCATATATTGTTTAACTGCCACTAGTATTTTTTTATTATTATGGCAAAATTGCTAAAGTCGAAATGAATGTTTCTAAAAGCAAAAGATTATTTATAGAGAAAACTAGAGAACAGAGAAAACTATTATAATTAATCTATTAATCCTAAAATTAACGCTTTCCTTTCTGTTTGTTTTTTTTATAATCTACTTTTAAGCTAATTCTAGTTTATCTCTTGCCTTTATGGTCAATAAGACAAGAGATAAACCGCAAGAAACAGAAAACGAAAAGCACATTGTATTAGAATTAAAACAGAATTAGTCTTAGATTGAATGAGTCAATCTTATAAGAGAAAGAGTTCATATTTTTTAGGTTTTTTGAACCTCAACGATGAAGTAGCAGCAGGTAATCAAGGTCTGAAAGATGTGGTCTTAGCATTAAAATGGGTTCAAAACAATATATTACAATTTGGTGGAGATCCAGGAAATATTACTATCTTTGGAGGAAGTGCCGGCGGAGCCATCGTACATTGTCTAGCTCTGTCTCCATTAGCTAAAGGTCGATCTAGAATTTTCTTATTACAATAACGTCATGCCTTATCTTCTTTTAAAATGAGAAAAAATGCAAGATTTTACGATATTTATTAAATTATTTTCATTATGACTATATGCCTTGCAGGTTTATTCCACAAAGTGATTTCACAAAGTGGCGTCATTTTAAATCCTTGGGCCTTCAATGAATGGACGGACGTAGGTTTTCGGCTTGTCAAAAAGCTCGGAAAGGAAACATCAGATCCAAAAGTCGCATATGAATTTTTAAAAACGATAGATGCAAAAACACTTATGAGAAATTCACAACGGTCAATTTTCACAGAAACAGTAAGTATCTCAATATTATATAATATTATAATATACATAGATTATATTATAATAGAATTTGATTTGTTACATGTGATGTAGAGAATAAAGTTTTGATATATATGGATAAAATATTTTTATATATTAATTCGATTTATAACATTATCAGGAGAAATTAAGTTTTACCATGTCCCTCTTCACACCTACTCTGGATATTAAGTCATCGAATCCATTTTTTCCTGAACATCCAAGGGAATACATAAGCCGAGGAATTCAAATACCCTTTATTTTAGGATTTAATCGTAATGAAGGGATATTTCTTTTAAAAGGCATTGTTTTCGGAGGTAGTATAAAAATACTATATTTTGCTTTCACTAAATATGTCTTTGTTTCGCTTTTATTTCTTTTGTACTAGGTGTATCTTTCAGTGGTCTGTTAAGAATATTATGATTTTGATATCCACATTTAATAAACACACTACATTTAAAAAGATTTTTATAATAATAATTAGAAATAATGTTGAAATTGATGGCAAACACTAATTAAAATATTCAACGTGTATATTATTCATTTGTATTTAGCGGTAACATATTACATTTCTTAATTAGCATATTTTTATAACAAAAATGTTAGGTTTAACGTGGTATTTTTGAGATATTTTTCATTAATTTCGAAAAGACAATTATTTCTTAGCGAAAGTATCCCTGAAATATTATTTGTTTAGTTTTAGAATATACAATACCCTAAAGTGATCATTTTTTATTAAATATAATCATTTTTTTATTTCAGATATAAACGATAAAGACCTGACAAGACTAAATACTGATTTTAAAAAAGCAATATTACCAAATACATTATCCAGGTTATTTAAAATGGGAATTACTGTCGAGGAACTAAAAACCTTGTATTTTAAAGGAAAAGCAATATCAGAGGAAACTTTGACAAATTTTGCGGATTTCTTAGGAGATCAATTTTTCGTACGTGATATAATGAAAGTATGTGAAATGCAAAAGTCTTTTGGTGGTTACAACTCTACATATTTATATCATTTTGATTATAACAGCAAAACTTTTATGAAAACAATGTTAAACATCAAAGTTGATGAAGGTATAATCACGCTAATTAATCAATAAAACCACATGAAATTATATAAAATATCTTATACATATAAAACAAAACAAATACACTTTTACTATCTATAGTGATGTGTCTCTGAATTTTTATATCAAATTGTGCGTAATTGTACGACAAAATTAATAGATATACAGAGAAATGTAAAAAATTTAGAATTAAGAAAAAATATTTTAAAATGGAAGTAATAAATTTGCAATTTTAAGAATAAATTATTAATAAGTATAACAATATTTTGCAGGAGTGTGCCATGGAGAGGATTTAGGTTTCCTATTTTGCCCAGAGGCAGCAAAAATGTTGAACTTATCACTACCTGAACCTGGTTCAGACAATTACAAAATAGTAAATTACTTCACGCAAATGTGGACGGATTTTGCTAAAACAGGGTACAAAGAATATTTTCTTTACTTTATATAAAACCTTCAAACATGTGTTAATAATTAATTTAAATCAATTTTTAGTAATCCAACGCCTACTACAAATTTATGGTTACCAATATCCGGTCCAAAAAACAAAGGCTATAATTATTTAAATATTGATTTAAATCTGCAAATGAAAACTTTCTGGAAAGAAAAGGCACGCTGGAATTGGGAAAATTGTAAAAAACATTCTGACATTCTATCTACTTAAAATTATATTTTAAAATTTCTTTCATATGTAAATAATAAAATTATAAACGAACGAAGTTATTATATTTATTTTAGTGACAAACAATAAGAGCTTATCAATTTTTAATAAAATTGATATAAATTTGTATTATTAAAAATATTAAAATATTATTATAATATTCCAGTTATAATATCTACTATTAAGAACGAAATATATGTAAATATAATATTTTTTAAATGTAAATAAATGTAATATATTTTTAATTAACAAAAGAGAAAAAAGTGTTATTAAAAATTCTAGAATATAATTCATAACTTAAATTTTATTTTCGTCGGTCACCCCCATGACATTCAACGTGTTTATTCCCGTTTCATTGTCTCTCAACGTATTAATTTTGTCTTATTGTAATAATTTTATTTTAATCAAAAGTTATATGAAATAAAGGAGAATTTGAGGTGAATCGAAGAATATGAAGATTTATATATGTAGATATTAAAATAAAGAAATGTAGAAAAGTTATTTTCTATATATATATATATATATATATGTGTGTGTGTGTGTGTGTATCCTATTATGAAATACCGAGTTCTTTTTGGGTAAATGCTAGAAATCTATGGGCAGAATTTAAAAAAATAATCATTTTGAAAAGAATTTAATAAGTTTTAAGGTAATGTTATGTAAAACGCAAAATACATCAGTATTGCAATTAAAAAACTTTATTTAATGTTTCTAAAATACAAATAAAACACAACCAGTGCGCATACAAAATGAGTGCGATGCATTGTATCTAGCTGACTTGTCTTCAGATAGTTGGAACTAAGCATCGCAGAAACAGGCACTCGATGTTTATTCCGATTGTCCTTTTTATTATTGTACAATAACATTTATACTTTAGCAACGATTCGAAAAAATCTTGCTTTAGTTATAAAAAACTTTTAAAAAATAGTTTCTTACAGGCTCATCTAAGATATGATATTAATTATATATGATTCTTAAGTTATATTATATATGATTCTGAAATATGAAAGATTATTTATCAGTCTTAAAAAACATATATTGGGTAAATATATGTTTATCCAATAAACATATATAGAAATTCGTAGTTTTTCGTAGTGAGATGTAGAGTGACGTTATTTGAAGGTGGAGGATTTCTTGGTTTTTTAAACAAACAATATTACTCTACGTCAATGATTCTAGGGAAATTTATGAAAACATAGGAAAACCATTTGCTTATTTTATAAATGATTAAATGATAGACATGATTTCATTTTTCAAATGTAAAATAAAAATGATTTTTTAAAATAAAGATCATTTGAAATAGAAAATGCAAAATGCTATTTTCATTTTAAATACATATTTAAAATGAAATGATTTTAAATATTACCTAGCCCTGAATATAAGCATGATCAAGAAATTGTGTATTGGTTTGTAAATTAATTTAAGCATTTTCTGTGTTTTAATGTGTAACATTTCGGAAGTCAATCTTTTATTGAAATTTCTTTCTCTGTCCAGTATCTGCACATTATCCCAATCAAATTCATGATTATGTTGTAACCTATGGTTTGTAATCATTGAGCTAACTGAGGTTTCTCTACCGATGTGATTGCAATGTTTAGATATTGTTGTCTTGATTTGCCTGCTTGTTTGTTCCACGTACGAAGCTTCACAATTTTTGCAAGCAATCTTATATATCACATTAGTTTGTACACGATTGATAACGGATCTTTGTGAACTCTAATTAAAAACCTCGCATTTTGTTAACACTGTCTTTGATATTGTATTATTGATTATTTTCTTAAATTTATCAGATATTTTATTGATATATACGGAATAATAAACCAAAGCAATTTTTTGTTAGTATTTATAATTTGTCTCTTCTTTGTGATGTCTTTATTATTTATATGATATTTGAGTCTCTGTGAAATAGTTCTAAAAATAAATTTTAATGGGTAATCATTATATTTAGTAGAATTTTTATAATCAATTCAAAATTATAAATAATCTCAAACTTATAAACAAAATATGATAACACTACCCGGGGAAAAATGTTATATAAATAATGGACATATTTTATATATAATTATATGTAATCGTATATAAAATATGTCAATTTTTTATATCCTAATTATACATAATTTTATATAATTACATATAATTATATATAAAATATTTTTTCCCAGATATAATGATAACTTTTTGTAAGTTAGTAACTTAAATTTTTATAATGACGCGAACTTCCAGATCTAAGATCAGCTATTTTTAATAGTATCTCGTCGGTGTCGAGAGCAATTCTCGTGAATAGTAACGTTCCATTCCATATTATCGAGTCCATTCAAAATTACCGCGGTGCAAATGTTTAAATGGCTGCGTCTATCATTTGCGTAGAGTCGTACAAAATTTGTCTCAAAAACGAACACACCTAAATTTCTTCCATCATGATTTTACGCGCGGTATATCCTGTTCTGTCCACGTCAGTTTACACGTTTTTCTAAGGACGTGATTCGAGAACGGCGGTTTGCTCGAAATCTCATAGTAGTCGATGAACGAAACGTTCACGCAGATGACAAGCTATCTAGACATTTCCTAGCGTAAACAAGGTATTCATTACGATCTCGCAGAATTAATTTAGATCGTGCCGAGTGTACAAAACAGCACATAAGCAATCGACGATATCCTTCGAGCCTATCGACTAACGTGTACGTTGTTTTCTTTTTTCTGAATAGTGTAACGAAGATGCATTGGACACTGTTCGCGCTGATAATCGGATCGTTTGGATCCAAATACATCCTCGTCCAGGCGCAAAGAGTCGCACCGGGAGTACCGCCTCAGCATTATCAGCAGGTAATTCGCTTTTCTCAATCAATTGGTGAACATATGTTTAGCGGTGCTTCCTGATACCACATGACGTGGAAGTCGATTCCAAACAAGGCATAAAGTCGGTATAATTGATTTTATCTATTAGTAAATAAACATTAAGTTAATTATTAGTCCATGTGTTTTTGACATCCAAATATAGAGTGGAATTGTAATAACCTAAATCCTTATGTGAAAATATTTAACATGATTCATAAAATAAACAGCTGTTATCTAGTATTATAGTAGTTTGTACATACACATTGTATTATTTACTTTTTATTTATACATTATTTTATAATTATTTTTCTGTTTTAGAATGTTCAAATACCGCAACATGCACAACATGTACCACAGCAACAGGTAGGTTCATATTTATATTATCTGTGTATGTGAAACTATCATTTTCAATCACTGTAATTTATGTTTGGTTTTCTCTTCAATACGTATATGAATCAGGATCAGGTATAGAGTCTAATAGTATCTAATTGAGTAACATTCTGTTTAAGTATCAAGTACCAGTACAGCAGCAGGTTCCTATGCAACAGCAAGTACCGATGCAACAAGTACCTGTACAACAACAGGTACCTATGCAACAGCAAATACCTGTACAGCAGCAAGTACCCATTCAACAAGTGCCTGGTCATCAATCTCATCAACCACATGGGCATGGTCATCAAGGGCCACCTCAGTTACTTAACACTGCCAATATAGAGCATGAAAAACAGTAGGTATTTGGATACGTAAAAATTTATTTTAGCTCTATATATATATATATATATATATATAAAATATAAAGTATGTATAATATATAATAATTACTATTAGATATAACAATAATTATGTAATGATAGCATTTCTTTTCTTTTAGACACATTGCTGAGCATGCTGATGTTCCAATAGATACAAGCAAAATGACAGACCAAGAGCTGCAGTTTCACTATTTCAAAATGCATGATGCAGATAATAACAACAAGTTAGACGGTTGTGAGCTGATCAAGTCTCTTATACATTGGCATGGTATGAACTAAGTCCATCTCTCTCTCTCTCTCTCTCTCTCTCTCTCTCTCTCTGTATATTTTTTCTCATATAATCAAATTTTTAAATATTTCCTTTGCATCCATAGAACAAGGTGGCTCGGAATCCAGTGTGCAAGGCGATAAATTGTTCAAAGATGAAGAATTAGTGCAGTTGATAGATCCAATACTTAGCATGGATGATAGTAACAACGATGGTTATATCGATTATCCGGAATTTATTCGAGCTCAACAGAACGCCGCAGCTAATGCACGTACATAAATTTTGATGAACCAAACTCTACGAACTGCGAATCCTTAAAAAGGATTTTGTAAAACCGAAGGAATGCAGGGATTGTTGGATTTTCATTATGACTATTTAATGATGCATTATTGACTCATCATTTATTCTATATATATATAATGAATCGATATTTGCGATAATGCATCCTTTATCGACTTAATTATAAATTATAAATAAGAAAATAGATGAACACACAAAAAAAGGGAGAATTTTTTTTTATATTAGTGTTATACATATATTATAGGCAATAGAAATTGAAACAATTGTATAATTGAAAATAATATTGTACAATTAAAAATATAATTGAGGAGTACAAAATTCCTCTTAGTTATTTACGTTAAATGAGATTAATTTGAACAATGACAATATTTACTCTGCGCATCATTATTGTTCAAGATGGTTAATGTTCTATCGTTATTAAACTCGATTTTTTAATACACCAGAAGACTATTTTTAAATGAGAATATTTTATAGAATATCTCTAACTCTGTTAATAAATAAAATGGCCATTTATCAGTTTTTTCATTGTTGAATATATGAAATAATAATTTGCAGAATAATATTTATATTAAGATAATAAATGTTTCGTCTTCTGATGAATATTTAGGAATAATACTGATAAGACAAAAATAATAATAATGCATAAATGTACTTTTATCTAGTGTCAATTATCTAGTATTAATTGACAAAATTGTTTATAATTCTGTTAATTATGTTATATTCTAAAACTTTGGCAAGAGATTTTTATTACAAAAAAATATTTAGATAATTTATAAATATACTGTATATATAGAAAACTCAGTAATAATAATAATTCATAAATTTATTGATTTTTACATTTCTATATCAAAATGCTATCAATAATCACAAA